CTCATCGTTCTGGATGGAGTGCTCAACAATTAGCAATCTCGTGAGGGTATTACTGAAGGGTCTGTGGAAGAGTCCGGGGATCGTTCAGAGGTGGACATCTTCCCCATGTCCCAGGGATGTTCCACTTGTATAAGTATCATCCGGGAAAAGTGCTTGGGTCTTCAACGCATGGTATCCTTGCATTTCCCCATGGGGTCAAGCCCGGTGATAGTTTTGGAGGCCTTGGATTTGGACCACGAGGCTGGAACGTAATGGGGACAGCCCCCCAGATACCGACCAGGGGTATGGTTGGTGGATGAGCCATCGACGCGCAGATGCGGATCCCGATGCGCGCAAGTACCTGAATATTTGGATTGCATAGGCAAATTTGTCAGGATCTCGCCCGAATAATCTCTGTGAAGTCCCTAGCCACGAATTCGACTAGAGAAGCAGTTTCGTTGTTCCGTTCCGAGATCCATCTTAGCAGTGATAGCTGGGGTCTGATATCGAGTCAGATGTGACTGACAAGGGCAATGATATTCAGCTTTACTGTAGAGATTGGACGGACACATGGGGGACCACGATGAAAAGGCTGACAGGCCGTGGCGAGGCCTCCACCGCTGACAATGAAAAGGCTCACTGGTCTTTCTCCACAGGCCACGTGCTTGCTCCACACCTAGTACACATGCCCCGTATGCCCCAGATCCAATATGCCCGAGGTACGAAGCCTGCTTCCTAATCCGGATGCTATTCGAGTCATTGTCCTTCCGACGAGCCACACCCCAATATGGATCGCAATATAGCATTCTCCAACTGTATTTGTTCTCTTACAAAAGGCTGGGATAGGCGGAGTTGGTGCGAGAGGCATACCAAGATTGAATGCGCGAAACGCCAGAAATGGCAACCTTCACAGGCAAAAATATTGTTGTCACTGGATCAGCATCGGGAATTGGTCTCGCCATTACGCTGACTCTTGCAGAGCGAGGCGCGATAGTTTGGACAGTAGATCTCTCCCAAAACCCCCCCGAGGAGCTGAAACCATGGATCGAGAAAGGCAAAGTGCACTTCGAAGGCGGCATCGACGTTGGTGACCGAACTACATGTAGGGCATACATGGACAGGGTCGTTTTCACGGCTGGCAGGCTAGACGGCCTCGTGAACAATGCTGGAATCGGCCTAGCTGAAGGGCCAATTGCTTCGGACGAAGCCTATGATCGCATGATCTACGTCAATATCGGCGGAGTGTGGAATTACGGTACAGCTGCACTCCGTGCTATGCAAAAGCAAGAACCAAGAGGCGAATGGGGTTCACGAGGCAGCATCGTCAATATTGCCAGTGGCGCTGGCCTGAGGGGCGTGAGCGGGCTCGCAGTGTACTGTGCTACAAAGCATGCGGTGATCGGACTATCGCGCGCGTGGCAGGAGGACTTTGGAAAGTACGGGATTCGGACGAACTCTGTTGCTCCAGGTAGATGAGCCCCTTGTCCTCGCTTGCCCTGGTAAATGGTCTGATCAACTCTGTTCAGGTGCTACGGCGACTGCTGCCTTTGTCAAACGTGCCGAAGAAGAGAAAGGCTTCCTCGATACGTTGCCTAGCAATCCTCTTGGAAGGGTCGCCAAACCTTCTGAGATCGCTTCAGCTGTTGCTTTTCTCCTCTCAGACGAAGCCAGCTATGTCGCGGGGGAAGTACTCTCCGTTACTGGAGGTCACGCATGAAGGCGGCGAGGTGGAGAGGGACCTAATCGTCAACAACTGGGCCGAGAAGCTGGACACGGAGTCTATGACAAAATCTATAGATTCAAAAATACAATAAACCAGCTGTGCTTCACTTCTACACAGTCAATGTTCAACTGAGACGCACCGGGCCAAGTGCCTAGTGCCAAACCGCACGATATACATGACACTGGTCCTATAACCCAACTTATCCGTACAGATACCGCTGCAGGTCCGAGTTTATCTTAACACCTGCCGAGCTAACAGATGCATAGAGCCAAGCTTAATGAAGGGCAGAGTTACCGACCTTCTGGTGTCAGAGTCCCACCTGACACAGAGATATTTCAGACAGGGATAGTAACTGATTTCTGACAGTGCTTGACGAGTCAGGAATTGATGACATCCTGCCGCGGCATTCAAAGAACAACTATCCTCCTCATTGGCACAGGCGAGAGGAACCTGAGACACCTCAAGGCTCGAACCACAACGGCGAAAAAAAGTCAACTGAATGCACTATCTCAGTGATTGCGCGCTTCCGATCCTGGCGCCCAATGATACATGGCTCTGGGCAATTGCGACTTTCACGGTCAGCAGCAATCTGATACAAGGCCGAGGCAATCTAGCCCGCGCGGAGCATCCCATATTATCCCGAGGGAAAGAAGGTATCTACCCATCTCGGGATCACCTTCATTCTGGTTGATATTTTGAAATATTGTGTTCCAGTGTTTGGAAGTAAATATTTCCTGCCTTTGTTAGTACAGTGAGTGTGAGCACATTTACATATTCTTTCAAGATGATTGCAAACCTCGTCGATGAGTACGAGATCCTTGATCAATATCACTCGCAACCGCGAAAGCTCAAGATCATCCATGTCGGGGCGGGAGCGTCTGGGCTCTTGCTAGCCTACAAGGCTGAGAGACAGTTACGCAACTATGCGCTCATATGTTATGAAAAGTATGTCGGGGCAAACGCTCCCAACTGCCCATAGTATCACCGAGTCTCATGCAGAGGCTGATTCTTTTATTCCTTGTCTGAAAAGAAATCCAAGCATCGGCGGAACATGGTGGGAGAACAGATATCCGGGATGTGCCTGCGACATTCCCGCTCACACGTACACTTACACCTTCCGACCCAATCCGGAGTGGTCGGGTTTTTATTCGCGTTCAGACGAGATACAAAAGTATTTCGAGAAGTTTTACGACGAATACAAGTTGGCGAAATATGTGCGTTTAAACACCGAAGTCTTGAGCGCCACCTGGTTCGAAGACAGCGGCGAATGTGAGTCTACGATATATATGTATATCAACGAAATGACTGGGCCGGTCGCACTGATAAGAATTGCGTCTGACACTCACGGAAATTGTAGGGGAAGTTGAACTCAAAAAAGGAGACGAGACTTTTACGGATCGCTGCAACGTCCTGATTAATGGTTCAGGGGTCGTTAACAAGTGGAAATGTGAGTTCTGAAGTCACTCGACGCCCCCGAAAGACAGCGTCTGGTGTGGAATCTTACAGTATGCCTCCCACAGGGCCCTCCATCGAGGGTATCTCTTTATACAAGGGCATCCTCGCTCACAGCGCCAACTGGGACACCTCAATTGACTGGCAAGGCAAGAAGGTGGCCGTGTTGGGGACAGGGTCAAGCTCTATTCAAATGGTGCCTCATCTGGCCAGAGGTAACAAACTACAAGGCAATTCCGACACCTAAATGACATATGACTGAACTGTCGTGTGACAGGGTCTCACAGCTTGACCGTCTTTGCTCGGAACATGACCTATATCGCGCCTCAGGTCGCCGCCGACGAACAAAAGATAGACGAGAACAGCCAGACTCCAGCGGCGGTCGGGAAACACTACTACATCGAAGCCGAGAAAGAGAAATTCCGAACGGATCCCGAGTTCCACCTCCAGTATCGGAAGAGGCTGGAGTCGGCCCTGACCGAGATGTTCCCGATGTTCCTTCGCGGCACGAAGCTGAACGTCCAGGCCCGAGAGTCGATGCGAGCGAGCATGCTGGCTAAGATCGGGCCGGGCCATGACGAGTTGAAGCAGCGATTCATCCCGCAGTGGTCGCCGGGGTGCAGGAGGCTGACGCCGGGAGAAGGCTATCTTGAGACGCTGATCCTGGACCACGTCAGGGTGATCCACGACGAGATCGCACGGTTCACCGAGACGGGCCTCGTGACGGCCGCCGGCGAGGAGTGGGACTTTGACATCATCGCGTGCGCGACTGGGTTCGACATCGCATACACGCCGCACTTCAAGATCACGGGCGTGGACGGGGCCGTGATGCAGGACGAGTGGAAGGAAACGCCCAATATCTACCTCAGCATCACAGCGCCAAAGTTCCCCAATTACTTTGTCGTGAACGGGCCGACGGGGAACTGGGGCCAGGGATGTGCCCTGCCTTCGGTAAGCAAGTCTTTCTTTTCTCTTCCTAACAATGCCTCACCGGTCCGCTCTCCTCTGGAAAGAAAATAAAAGTCCCCTCCCCCCCCAAAACCGCGTGTTCTCCTCGCTCATATGTCCTGGCCAAAAAACAGCACGAGGTCCAACTCGAATACGCTCTGCAATGCTGCCGCAAGATGCAAGAGGAAGGGATCCGGGCGATGGAGCCACGGCAGGACCCGACAACCCAGATCAACCAGCACCTGGACGCGTGGCACAAGAAGTACAGCGTGTGGGCTGAGGAGTGTCGCTCGTGGTACAAGGACAACAAGCCCGACGGCCGCGTCTACATCTGGCCGGGCAGCCTGCTGCACCACCTGAAGACGCTGCGGGTGCCGCGCTACGAGCACTACGACCTGCGTTACGAGGCCGACAACGTCTGGGCGTTTTTGGGTAATGGCCGGACGGACTTGGAATGGGAGCACGAGAACAATGGAAGCGACGGCGCCCGCAAAGTCGACCTGGCGCCATACATTCGCAACGAGGATGTGCCGTGGAGCTTGGATCTGCCTCTACCCTGGAAGGGAGAGGATCTATCGTAACAGGCCTGATGCGGAGAAGAAGATGGAGGAGAAATGTAAAAGTAGATCTGAAAACAGTGCTATTGTTGTTGCTGCTGCTTTGCCATACTTAGATGCCCCTCCAACCCCCCCGGTGTGCGAGGGATCTTGCGTGAGTGAACCCAGAAGGAAATGGCGGTAGATTGTGCTCGTCCAGTTTCTTTTGCCCCTCATCTTTTGACTTTACAATCGATTGAGAGAAGATAAGGGGAAAAAAGAAAAGGGAAAAAAAGATATGCCGCTGTTTTGGGCGAGAGAGAAAACAGAAGCGCCAAAAAAAAGGAACAAGGAAAATCCAATTAGCCCTCCTCCAGAACGTGCCGATGATATGCACCCCCCGGCACCGGCGCCGGCACTTGACCGTCCAGATACGACGCGCACCTGCGGTACCAGCTCATGGCGACATCGTCGAGGGGCCGGGGCGCGGGCCAGGAGAGGTGGTTGCGCGACCTGAGCGGCACGCCCTGGGCGACCTTGAGACTCGGCTCGTACAGGTGCGGGTACTTGACGAACAGGCCCGGGTCGAGCAGGTACTCTTCGACGCCCTGGCCGATCTTGAGCCGGCGGTGCATCTCGTGCGCGTACTCTCGTGTGTGCAGGAGGGTGTAGAGGTCCGGGGCGGGCAGCTTGACCTCGGGCTTGGGGCCAATGTTGGAGGTGAGCCATGTCGGATTCGTCTCCATGCCGGAGATGATGTCGTGGATGTTGAAGTAGACCGTCAGCGGCTCGGCGCCGAGCACGAATTCCGACAAGTCCGCCTGCACGACGTACGCCAGCCCGATGTCGCCGCAGATGTCGTCCAGCGCCGGGTCCGCAGAGTGGTACTGGATCAGCTTGTCCCGGAGGAAGGAGAAGACGCACCAGTCGATGACGGGCGGATGAGGCACCGCCGTCTGCAGCGGCGTTGGCTGCATCGACGGCGGTATGGCCGCAAACGTCTCTGGGCCTGGGGAGATACGCCACGCCGCGAGTTTGGTGAGCGTGTCTTTCCCGTTGGTCCATTGGATCCACGATTCCATGCCGCCCCAGGCGATCTTGATGAAAGCCGAGACGAGGCTGGAGACCATTCGATTGAGACTGATGATGGCACATTTCTCAGCATCTTGATCGCAGCATGTCTCGGCGTCCTCCGCCGCAGAATATTACTACGTACCTGCTCAGATCGGGATTTCGTCTGGCGCCCAAATAGCCGGTCACGGCGCACATCTCGTATGCATGGATGTGTTCGGAGTAATTGGAACGGGCCATCACCTGGAGATTGCGACAGATAGGGAATGCGACCGAGTTTGGAGGACTATGTCGCAGCGATGTCGTCGTAGATAATGCTTGCACCCCCCGGCCAACGGCCCAGTCGACGCTCTCTGCCAGAGAGTCTTCGTTAGACGATATCGGCACGGGCGGGTCAGCCGTATATGTTGTCTCCGCGGTAGGCGTCTCGTTGGATGATGAGATGCCAGAGCCGAGGGCAGGACACGCATCAGTGTCCAACATCGCGCTAAGAGGTGCCGACAGTGGTTCGGCGTCGATCTGGCAAGAGGAAGGCATGTTAAGATCGGTTCCCCACGGATCCAATCCTTCTTCATCATCACCTGCATCGACTCCAGGTTCCGCGTGCCGGGCATGAGCATCCTTGATAGACATATCTCGTTAGAGACCTGCAAAAGGACCCGGGATTGCACGAGGCTGAGCCATGATATAGTGACCGGCGAGTTATTCAAGACAGAAGTTTGACTTACAAAGTTGTTCTCTCTGCTCTCTACCATGGCGTCAATGATGCCCTTCAGCGTCGCCTGGAGGCTCCGGAGCTTCTTCTCCGACTGCCACAGCAACTGTCTCAGTCTGCAGTTCTCTTCGACCAGCCTGCTGTTGCGGTCGCTCTCGGAGCCGGAAAAGAGTTCCAGCCGCTGCTTGAGCTCGTTGATTTCCAGGCTCTGTCGCGCGCGGAACGCTTGCTGGGAGAGACGGTTGCGGAGCTTGCTAGGTAGCCCAGCGGGATCGGGCGGTCAGCATTGAATTTGGCAGCATGGATGCCTCCATCGATCATGTCAATTCAACTTACCGCTTTTCTATCGCAGCACTGGATTTCTTTCGCGCAGCAGCAGTAGGGAGAAACTCCTGGGGTGATGCCATTTGACCAGTTACCCTTCTACGAGGCCATGGTTCGATGTCTCCGTTCTTGATTTTATTGCCTTGGTATGAGGAACGTCAAGGTACGAAGAAGGTGTTGAAAACTTCAAGAAGCTGGTTAGGCGTAAGAAAGAAACCCACCATCTCCCGCATTCCGGAAGACGCTACAGAAAATAGCATCCTGGGGATATGCGGAGGTGCCAGCACTTCTCGAGTAAGCGAAACATGTTGACCTCGGCTTCCCCTTGGCTTCTTATATCAGTATAGTGCGCTGAAGGCGCGTCGAGTCATTGCTTTTAAGGGCGGCCAGATTTCTGTCCCGATTTGCTGGTATCGCATCGAGGACGACAATGGGAACAAGCATTTTCCTCGATTATCGGAGAAATCTATGAACTAGACATGTGCCGCGGAAAAACAATATTGAGGATGTGGTCAAGGTGGCCTCAGATGTCCGGGAGGACGTCAATGTTGACAATACGACAAGGCGTCACTAGCAACATCAGCGTGCCATGACCATCAGTAGTCCCACTTCCCTAAGCTGCTTGGATCAATGGTGATTTGATGAGTGCCGCATTGTCGGCGATGGGCAAACGAGTGAACTGATCTATAATGGGTTGCTGCTTCCTCGTGCAAAAATCCGTTGGCTTCTTGTTTGCAAATGATAATACAGCGTCGTTCCGGGCTTGGTTGGCATTCATCTTCATGCGGCTCAAGATTATGGCAACAGCTTCGTCGGCTCTTTGTACACCGGCCCGCTGGGAGTGTTGGCTGCATGCAAGGCACCCTTCGCGACGCTGCGCCAGGTGTTCGACATGCTCCACGCAATGATTTGCGTGAATCGCCAATCCATGGAAGGCGCATACATAGTGCACAGGTATGCCTTCATCGTCTTCTCATGCTGCGGGCCGCCGTGTACGCCCAGTGGGGACACCTACCAGGGCTGTACAGGCTCATCAACGCTCGCAGAATAGGATTTCTCTTCTCCTGTAGAATTGCAAGCCCAACCATCCAACAGAGTTTTGGCTGTCCGGGCGGAAGGAGTGGTTGACATTCTCGAAGATAGAGTCGACGCCTCCGTTGAGCCGACCAATTTCTTGGGCCTATCCCATGATATCAGAATGAGTCGCCTGCAGTGTCCACATAGACCCTGGGGCCTAATGCTGAGCCCTCCTGTCATCCGAGACAGGTCGACGCTCGTGCATAGTCCTTGCGTGGTATCTATCGCCTAAAGAATTCCATTAGTAGAAGTGGTAATGTGAAATAGTTGGGCAAGGTAATTCGCGCGTGTGCATTTGGCGCTTCGAGAAGGATTTGGGATGGTTTGTGCGGGTCGCATTTCATGTCTATCACGCGCGAAGGATTGCGTGAATCCTCAGAGGGAATCGGTGATGGGGAGGCGGGTTCTGACCCGCACCGTGGTCGATGCAGCTTGCAAGATGTAAAGTTTTGGTAGATACGCAACAAAAAGAGTGAGGCAATCGCAAAGAGAATAAGATGACCTCTGTCTGGGAGTTTGCGCCCTGGCTTCCTCACGAAACAGTTCCTCCACATTCTGAAATAGTCTTCCTTTCAGGGCGGAGTGCTCCTGTGAGTTTTAATCCCCCTGGAAGACAATAGACCTTGTTAAAAACCGGTGAACCACTTGCCTGATGGAAAGGGGAGGGTCGGTCATATAATACGGTTCGTTGTCACAATCTGACAGAACCTACACAATGTGATCATCTTCCATATTTTTGAATCGAGACAAGACGAACACGGAGCATGACCGGTCCGTTGTCTGTCGGCTGGAACGAATGGTCTTCCTCACGCAAGGCCGAGGCGCATTGGTAAGACTGGTCTGGTTCACTGTAAAGAATCAAGCGCAAAATGCTGTCCGGGGAGTCCCAGGGAAAGATTCATACAACAGCAAGGAGCAGGGCGTTCGAACACGTACCGATTTTCATCCTTGCGAGTGGCAGGCGTATGTAGGAAGTCGGCCAGCACGGCGCTTTTGCGTTCTTGTTCGATGTCAGAGTGGCTTCCTTAGCCCCTCTGGGTCATCATGGTTGTGTTTCTTCGTATCTCCTTCGGCGGGGAACACTTGTTTATTCACACCACATTCAGTCCAACGAAAGAAACGGTTCTCTCGACACCTCAGGCGGCCATGGCTGCAATTTCTCTACCCGGCTTTCTCTCGGAGGATGGCAATGGCAAGGCTGCGACGGTCGCCGTCGCAGCAGTAGCAGCCTCGGTGGCAAAGGCATCCACCTCCTTTGTCCTCCACTCGGAGGTCTGCAAGAAAGCTACTGGGTTCTCTCCGGACAAAAGCAAGGGCACGCAGTGATGCCTGAACTTTGACCGCTCCGAGATATGCTGCCAGCATTCGCCACCACAAAACGAAAACAGGGATAAAACTTGATTTCTCGAGTGCCCAAGGGAAATATATCCGATCGGGTAAGAGTACCGAAAAATGAGGCCGACAAGGCCACCATGGCATGTCTATGATGCCATGATCGGCCTGAACGAATGTCGCCACTCAGATGGAACCCCGCTCGCCCGATAAATCAGTGGCATCGTATTAGTAAATCGTAATACGCAACATGCGAGTCATGTGAACGCTGTGGCGGTGTTGTCTCGCAGGAATTTCGGCATCTCCCTGACCGTTGTGTGGCTGGTGTGGTCGGCTTTCGGAGAGACATCGAGAAGTCTGAATCCTCCCACACTCCTTCGTGACATCCACGTGGAGCTGATGGATGTGAGTGGACATCGCTCCTGGTACCCAGTAGTCTCTCCCACCGTAGCAGTTACAGAAGATTCCCCCCCTTCTAGCGCTACAAAATTCCCCAGTGGTCTCCCATTTACTTAGATCGGCAGTCCACTTACCTGCTGTAGCATGCTTACCATAGGCATGTAGTTTGCCATGTGGTAGTGGCACGAACCCCTGCATCTTGCACTACTTGATGCATTCTCCCTCGACTGCCCATCTGCGGCGATCATCGTGAGGGAGGAGATGCGCAGAAGCAACGGTGACAACGCCATGTGGTGGGGGAGGGACCAATCTCGGAAACGGTTGGTGCTTTTTCCCGCTGCTTCATTCGCGGATATAACCCTGGAAAGATATAAGTCGCCGACACCACCTACTTGGTAGAGATCTCGGGGATGAAGGACGCCGAAGAATGACGAATGCACCCGCACCGAAGTTGAGTTCTGACTGTGTCCACCCCCAAAGATTTCGCCATTGCCTCTCGGAGGCGCACGTAATAGCTCCAGGTAAGATGTTCCAAGCACGGCAGTGTTTATCCTGCCTGAAGAATTCAATACCCGAGGCATGCAGTCATGATGTTTTACCACCAGGCGGAGGGGGGAGAAGCCGTAACCTTGGACCTCTTCGACATCGAGAGGGGGCATCGGAAAAGGGCGAAACACAGGCTGCGAAAGTTCGGCAGAACGCCGTACGAGCAATAACCCCACATGATTGGAGGCTTGATGAGCGGCCTTGCTTCCCTCGCGAACTCTGTTTGAGGGAATACCCGATGACCCCTAAAGCAGAGTGTGCAAATTGTCGGGTGCAGGAAGAAAATTCTTGCAACTTCGTATCGACCAAGGTTAATCGGGTAGCAGAAAGAATGGTGCCCACACAGGCAACCACTGAAGTGTCCGGAGCGGGAACCCGAGCCATCCTCCATCGACGTGATTGCGAAAGATGGAGCTTGACCTTGGAGCATCATGGAGGGGGAGAGGGAGAAAGGGAAATGGTGCTGGACAGTTCTTGATGAGTCAAGACCAACCTACCTACCTCCCGTGTTCCCCTGGAACTCATTGGAATCTTGGCAAAAAATGGTGGACAAACTCTGCCTCGTATGTAATCGGCCTGAAAGTCGGAGCCGCAGCAGTAGCGCCGGTAGCAGCAATGGCAGGAGCTCTTTTCCGATGGAAGGCGACGGTCGCCCTTGCAAACTTTTACTGGGAACCGCACACCCGTTTCAACACACGGATTCACTTCCACTAACAAGTACTTGTTACTTCTTATTCACTGTCTCGACACTATCACCATCATCATTACTAACAAGTAAGAATCGAAGACAGCCAGATGCCGTGAGAGTCTCGAGAATCATCATGTGAAAGTGGTGCGGAATTGGCGAGCTTCGGTTTTCGACCCACTCGTCCACTCGTCCATCCGTCGGCGGATTTCTTTTCCCCAGGAAACGATCGGCGGATTCTTTTCCCCCGGGGGTCGCACCTTTTTGAGGGAGAAACTCGTATTGATGGCCACAGCGTCATGTCGGTGTTCCTGTGTAGAGAGGTTGGAGTTACCGGCAATCTGGGTAGAAGGCCTTGGTTTGGGACGTTTGCCAGGTGCAAGGGCGGTAGCTCGAGGGTGTCAACAGTGCGTTGACACCAGCGCACATACCGTCTTTGCCCACTACGGCGCCCCTAGAGATCAACCGGCCAAATGGGAGATCGGCAGTGGCATCGAGATCTCTGGGGTTGTTCACACAAAGGAGGCGGAGAACGTGTCAAGAAACTGAGAAATGCAAGCAGAAGCTTCACCCCCGTTCAGCTCAGTGTCCGTTACACTAAGGCCAGAGCGTGAGTCATCCTAAGCCAGCAGCCATTTCAATCACCAAAGGAACAAGACAGCAATGTCTCTTTTTTCACAGTCGGTATTTATTAAACTAATAATACTAGCTACAGCGCTCTGGAGCTCTGAATATCCTCTGTTGTGAGGTGAAGAGGGAGTCACAATGGACTCAACCATGTTCATATCGTATCCAATCAGCCATGTAGGCGGGGGTATCGTAGACCGTGTCCCAATGCTCGCAAAATATGCAAAAGACTGCTCGAAATGGAGCAAGTGGGAAGCCGCTCGCTGGAAAAGACATCGCTTGCTAGACAAAACACAAAACAGATCATGTGGCCAGGGCCAGCCCCAGACTCACTTCCTCATTGAGGACCGTTCAGGCAGCGCGTGCCACGTCGCTGGACAGGCTGACGTCCCTTGACGGCACTAGGTCGACGCGACT